GACACAATGAAGGTTTCTGCTTCCATGCTGTCAGATTCAGGAAATGTCCCCGCTGTGTCCTGATCTCTCCACTGTGGAGACCAATAGTGAAAAGTCCCGGATCAGTGGATTTGACTATATGATAGGACAGCCAGGCATTCTGTCCGGAGTCCGCGTCCACCGCGATCACTTTGGACACCAGAGAGCCTCCGTGCGCAGCATTGGGGACCAGCTCGGTCATGAAGGAGTTTCCCTCCGGGTTGGGGTACAGTATCTGAGGAGAGTTGTCGTTCACATCCGATACGAACACACTGACGGTCACGTTGCTGCTGAGCGGAGGAGAACCGTTGTCTCTGGCCATCACGAGGACTTTAAAGCTCCTGAACTGTTCATAATCAAACGACCTCACAGCGTGGATCACCCCCGTGTCTCCGTTAACAGACAGATAGGAGGACACCGGCGCACCGTTCACCTCACCGGGTAAAAGAGAATAAATCACTGTGCCGTTTTGTCTCCAGTCGGGGTCTCGAGCGGTAACGGAACATAAAGTGGAGCCAGCTTTGTTATTTTCACTCACATACGCGCTGTAGGATTGTTCCTCAAACACAGGTGGGTTGTCGTTGATGTCTGCTACAGATAACTGAACGGTTTTAGAGGAGGACAGAGGTGGAGAGCCCTCGTCAGTGGCAGTGACTGTAATGTTGTAATCAGACTCTAGTTCACGGTCCAGTTGTCCTGTGGTCACCAGAGAATAATAGTTTTTAATAGAAGGAACCAACTTAAAAGGGACGTTATGCTGAATGGAACAGTGGACCTGTCTGTTAGTCTCAGAGTCTCTATCCTGCACGTTAACGATGCCCACCTCTGTACCAGGTGACACATTCTCGGGTATCTGGTTAGTTAGTGATTTCATGAATATCAATGGGGCGTTGTCGTTTACATCTGTGACATCAATAATAACTTTTGTTTCTGAGGAGAGTCCATAACCATCTTTAGCCTCAACAAAAACTTCATACCTCGATCCTTCTTCATAATCTATGTTACCTGTCAAACTGATTTTACCAGTTTTTTCATTTAATGAAAAAAGCTTCCGTGATTTATCAGACATTCGGCTAAATTCATAAGTTACCTCTCCGTTGACACCTTCGTCTTCATCTGATGCACTTACAGTAATAACTGGTGTGTTGATAGCAGAGTTTTCGGGTACTGTGGCTTCATAAACAGAGTGAGTAAAAACTGGGGCGTTATCATTAGCATCAAGTACAACGACATGTATGAGCACTGTCCCGGATCTCTGAGGAGAACCACCGTCTACAGCTGTAAGTATCAATTTGATTTCCTGCTGCTCCTCTCGGTCTAATTCTTTACCCAAAATCAACTCGCCATATTTCCTACCTGCACTTGTTGTCTGAATACTGAATGCAAAATTAGGATTGTGTTCTAAAATGTAGCTTTCAATCGCATTCTTGCCTATATCAGCATCGTGTGCTGCATTAATACGATACCGAGCTCCTTTGTCAGCTGACTCTCCGATTTCAAGCTTCACAGTGTCTTTGGGGAAACTGGGTGCATTGTCGTTTATGTCCTGCACCTGCAGGGACAACCGATGTAATTCCAAAGGATTCTCAAGCAGCAAGTCGAATTTAAGAACACACGAGGGTTTTTCTCCACAATGCTCCTCTCTGTCGATTCTTTCCGCAACAATTAAATCCCCGTTTCGAAGGTTTATCCCACAATACTGTCCGTCGTTTCCTTCCATGTCAACACGAGCTTTTCTAGCAGACAGTCTGCCCACCTCCAGGCCGAGATCCTTGGCAATATTTCCTATAACGGATCCGCGCTTGAGCTCCTCCTGTACAGAATAGCTCAGGTCTCCGTGTGCGGACTGCACCACAACAAAGAAAAAGACAAAGCCACAGCTTTGAAGAACACGCCGCGTAGTCATCATCCTTAGAGTGAACTACTAGGTTATTTACTATCGCGTATTAAAAAGATTATTCCACGAATATAGTTGTCTGCTAAGCATTCGTCGTTGCTGTTGAATGACATAAAGAACACAAGGCTGGTCCATCCAAATAATGGGTGGTGTGCAAACAGGCTGAACACTCCACTCCTCAGCTGGTCTATAGCGACACCGTGAGTATAAACTAAACATGGCAAGGTATTCTTAACTTCACCATCGGATATAGTTAAACACTTCTTTTTATGATAAAATTGACTTTAGATTAGAAAACTTTAATAATCCCCAGTGGGGAAACTCATTTGCCACCGAAAAATGTGTGCAGACTCAGACCACAATAGACACAGTCCACAGAGCACAACAGACAAGAAAAACGATACAAGGAACAAACACGACCAGAAGATGCTTTACAAAACATGATTGATATCAGAAAGTTGTCAAAGCTAAAGATGTATATTCAAAATCGAACTGCTGCTGGATTAAAGTATACCTTCTGGGTCGTTCAGTAAAACACTTAAGCATCTGGAGTTGCTCACTGAATAAGCTTCTGAGTCAATTAAAAACTTTGTGTAGTGGATGGCCTTCAAAGTTAACGTTTGTTTTAATTGGAGATCAGTGTAATATTACAGTAATGCATTTATTCTTTTAAAGTAAAATTTCACGCAGATTTGTGTTTTTTGGTTTCACAGACATAAATCCACGATTCCTCCGCTTTGATGATGTAATTGTTATATTAAAAAAATGTTCTCAATTATTTAAAACAATGTTTGACCTTACATAGCGTATCAAAATACCGTTCAGAACATATCTTACATCAGTATCTTGTCGAGAAGCACAAAATATACCATCCAATTAACTGTTTTTGATTATGTTCAATGGCTCACACGTTTCCAAAGATACTTTGCATTCAAGTGAACTACTAGATCAAATGAAGAATCTTACTGCTTGAAAAAGCTAATGCTTATTCTTCATATAGTGTTTTAGAATAAATCTTTACCAAGATGAGTTTTGTTGACAGTGAATACCGTATCGGGTAGATAGGCCGTGCAAATTTAGTGTAACTTGAGGAGTACGTTGTTGTTAAATGTGCCAAAACTAGCACTACTCTCAATAATGATGACACAAATATTGATAAAATCATTACATAAAATAATACAAAATGAATACATCTAGAAAACATGTCCAAACAAAGCAAACAGAGCAACAGTTGTACATGGAAAATACTTGGTCCACACCCTCAATTCAGGACAAACTATTATATTTTATTGAATGTAAACCTCTACTTGTATCACTGTCACTAAACAGCACAGCACCAGAAAAACTAATGTTTGAAACATTCAAATCAATAAATCATACGTGAGATTTCGAAGCAACACAATCCATTCCACTTTACTAAACGACATATACTTCCTATTCCATGGATCATTATTTTCATCATCTAAGACCTGACGTATACATTTCTTTACAAAGTGGATATATATATGATGGTCATGTGATTGAAGAAAAATATCTGGCCCAATATATTATTGTCATGAACCGGGTATCCTCCTCTTTTCCTTTCCAACCCTTTCTTCACACACACACACACACACACACACACACACACACACACACACACACACACACACACACACACACACACACACACACAGACCTGCTCATTCATTCCCAGCTGCTTTTCATCTCGTCATCCTCTCTTCCCCTCACCTGTTCCTACATTCTGCAATTAGACTGTCTATTTATAGCCTGCCACTTCCCCTTGTTCTCTGCCAGAGTATTGACTATGCACCCGACGTACCTGTACCTGCTGTCTCGTTTCTCCTGCCCTGTCGTATCCTAACGGTTCGTGCCTTACGGTGTGGCCCGAGTCCAAACCTCTGTTCCACCCAGCCTCCCCTTTGACGTGGGCGGCCTGCTGTCTGGAGTGCTTTTCCCTCGCCCTGGAGCTGCACTCTCCGGAATTCGCCGACACCGTCGCCGGCCAAGCGCCTGCGCCTCTTCTGTTAAGCCTTTAGTGCCATTTTGTTTTTGAGACCACCTTGTGGCTACCATAGTTCCTTTTTGCCTTGGACATTCTAAGTTGATTAAAACACACGTTACCTGCCCTTGCGTTTGGGCCCTCTCTCCCCCACCCACACAACGATTATCTAATTCTATTTCCAAAAATGGCAAAGAAATTAATAGAAAATGCACGACCAGAGTAAAGTGATGTTCAGCACCAAGGACAGATATTCAGCACCAAGGACAGATGCACAGCGAAATAGGCATCTCCATTACTCACACGGAAGAAAAAGCGGCTGATTAATGAAGTAAATATACTGGGGATTGAACAGGAGTAGGACATATACAAGCAAAAATATTTTGCAGTCTTTCATGGTTGAAAGGAAATACAAAGAAAGAGCTCATCCAAATGAGATACATATCATGTTTGTGTGTAGTGTTGGAAAATAGCATATTGGTGAATCCTACAAATTGAGCAACATAATAAAACTGTTGAAAAATGAATCCTCTCAAAATTTCGTGGAATCTGAAATACAAATTGTAATAATTAAGGTAAAACAATGATTGTGAGATCAGGCTAGACTAAGGGAACGCTTGTAGACAAAAAAAATTAAAAGAAAAGTCTGAATATCCATAGAACCCATTAACCCGGAGGAAATAATGTTTTTGATCATATTTGACACAGCGTGCATGTGTCATTGTCTGACAAAGGGTGAATAAGGGGGAGAAACGGTTGACAGGATATGTAAATTATGTTCGCAAGAATCGTCACAACTCAGGACAAATTATATCAATCTCAGCATTGCACATTAAAAAAGCAATACATCAGAATACAATTGTAACTTCCTCGGGGAACAGCGTTTCCTACCTCAGGAGAATCATCACAATCTCCAAATGCATCCGCAAAGTCTGATGGACTTTTCCTTAGGGTCTGGTCAGCAGGCAGCGTGTTGTCATTGTAAGATGACACGAACTTGAAGTCACTGGTTCTTGAACCGGTTGTCAGGTACGCGTCATAATTGTAAGTGCTGCGTAAAGTTCCTGTTCCGTCCACGTCTGCGTAATTAGGAGGGAGATACGCGCTGGGGATGGCAACTGCTCCATCAAACAACAGTCTGGGCTTTCTCCTGTGACAAAACCTCACACCGAGGATGATGATGATGAAGGTCAGGAAAAAGGTGGACACGGACACCAGCGCGATGATCAGATAAGAGGTCAGTTTGGAGTTCTTCTCGTCATAAGAAATATCCTTCAGTTCTGGCACCTCAGCCAAGTTATCAGAAATAAGTAAATACATGGAACAGGTGGCAGAGAGAGAGGGCTGTCCGTTATCTTTCACCGACACAATGAGGTTCTGCTTCATGCTGTCAGATTCAGAAATGTCCCGCTGTGTCCTGATCTCTCCGCTGTGGAGACCGATAGTGAAAAGTCCCGGATCAGTGGATTTGACTATACGATAGGACAGCCAGGCATTCTGTCCGGAGTCCGCGTCTACCGCGATCACTTTGGACACCAGAGAGCCTCCGTGCGCAGCTTTGGGGACCAGCTCGGTCATGAAGGAGTTTCCCTCCGGGTTGGGGTACAGTATCTGAGGAGAGTTGTCGTTCACATCCGATAGGAACACACTGACGGTGACGTTGCTGCTGAGCGGAGGAGAACCGTTGTCTCTGGCCATCACGAGGACTTTGAAGCTCCTGAACTGTTCATAATCAAACGACCTCACAGCGTGGATCACCCCCGTGTCTCCGTTAACAGACAGATAGGAGGACAGCGGAGCACCGCTCACCTCACCGGGTAAGAGGGAATAAATCACGGTACCGTTTTGTCTCCAGTCGGGGTCTCGAGCGGTAACGGAACATAAAGTGGAGCCAGCTTTGTTGTTTTCAGTCACATACGCGCTGTAGGATTGTTCCTCAAACACAGGTGGGTTGTCGTTGATGTCTGCTACAGATAACTGAACTGTTTTAGAGGAGGACAGAGGTGGAGAGCCCTCGTCAGTGGCAGTGATTGTAATGTTGTAATCAGACTCTAGTTCACGGTCCAGTTGTCCTGTGGTCACCAGAGAATAATAGTTTTTAATAGAAGGAACCAACTTAAAAGGGACGTTTTGCTGAATGGAACAGTGGACCTGTCTGTTAGTCTCAGAGTCTCTGTCCTGCACGTTAACAATGCCCACCTCTGTACCAGGTGACACGTTCTCGGGTATGTGGTTATTCAGTGATTTCATGAATATCAATGGGGCGTTGTCGTTTACATCGGTAATATCAATAATTACCTTTGCTTCTGAAGATAGGCCATAACCATCTTTAGCCTCAACAAAAATGTCATATGTTGATGCGTCTTCATAATCTATGTTACCTGTCAAACTGATTTCACCAGTTTTTTCATTTAATGAAAAAAACATCTGCAATTTATCTGACAGTCGGCTAAATTCGTAAGTTACCTCCCCGTTGACTCCTTCATCTTCATCGGATGCACTTACAGTAATGACTGGTGTGTTGATAGCGGAGTTTTCGAGTAACGTTGCTTTATAAACGGCCTGAGTAAAAACTGGGGCGTTATCATTAGCATCAAGTACAATGACATGTATGACTACTGTTCCGGATCTTTGAGGTGAACCACCATCTACAGCAGTGAGTAATACATTAATTTCCTGCTGTTCCTCTCGATCTAATTCTTTATCCAAAACCAACTCCCCATATTTTCTTCCTGCACTTGTTGTCTGAATATTGAATACAAAGTGAGGATTATTTTGTAAAATGTAGCTTTCAATCCCATTCTTGCCTATATCAGCATCTTGCGCTGCATTGATACGATACCGAGCTCCTTTGTCAGCTGACTCTCTGATTTCAAGCTTTATAACATCCTTTGGGAAACTGGGTGCATTGTCGTTTATGTCCTGCACCTGCAGAGACAACCGGTGTAATTCCAAAGGATTCTCAAGCAGCAAGTCGAATTTAATAACACACGAGGGTTTTTCTCCACAATGCTCCTCTCTGTCGATTCTTTCCGCAATAATTAAATCTCCACTTCGAAGGTTTATCCCACAATACTGTCCGTCGTTTGCTTCCATGTCAACACGAGCTTTTCTAGCAGCCAGTCTGCTCACCTCCAGG